CAATGATTGATGGAAATATGAATCYTATATATCGGTGAACGAGCTTATAAATGGTAAAAAACTTTCACAAAAATCGCTTTACAAAGGAAATTAGGCAGGTTTCAGCGGGAAAGCTGTGGACATGCGCAGTGCGTTTTTCACCAGTGTCCACCAAGAGCGGTAAATGAGCAGTTGGGTAAATGCCGTTCCCAAACCCATTCATGGGCTCCTAGTAATGGTTCCTGAAAACACCAACAAACGTTAAAAATTCTCTGGCCACTTTTAATCAAATAATTTGAAAGTGATGCTAAATTATTTAACTTTCCACCTCAAGGAAGAAGTAAAATACCCATCAGGTAAATTAGTCATCTTTAATTTGATTTCAACGCCATTAGTCCCCTTACGTTCACAAGGACCGGATACTTGGGCTACCTGTGCCTCTAGTCAGCGGTAGACATTATGAAAATATAAATCAAGATGGCGGAAGGATTGCTAGAAGATTGTCGTGATCTCTTGTCTCGTTTTGAAAGCCGTCAGAATGTACGATTTGAAGTTTTCTCAGAGGTTTGGAGAGAAATGAATTTTTCATTTATTCACTGGTAAAATTTTGATGCTGTTGTTTGAAAAATGTAATCGTTTTCAATACAAAACAACTTTTGAAAATGTGTTTACTGACAGAAAATGTTCGATTTCAGTGGAAAGAAAGATGCGAATGGAAGGATTCAGGTTTGTGAATATCAAGCATGATTAGAAAATACATATTATTAGTAGTTTCCTCAAAATTTTAAGAAGAATATAATAGTTACAAAACATTGTATAAAAGCACTTGTAGCCAAAGTAAGCTGACTTTTCGACTTGATAAAATTAATAATGGCTTGTGCTTAGATTGTAGATTACCTATTTCGTATTATGACATCGTACGTGTCCCCTTCATGTTCACTGATTATCAGAGAGGGTGCAGTCTATGCTCTATATGGCATATACAACACTCAACTATGTAATCCCAAAGTTAAGGTGAGGAATCATTTGGTGAGTAATATATTGGGCTTATACTGGACTTGCATTTGATCATTTTTGTCCTTAAACCAGATACGAATGACTTTATCTATGTGGAAAGATTTTAATGAACTGCAAGAATTAATACAACAACTAAAGGTAACTCTGCAATCCCATTCAATATATTACTTGATACATGATTTACATGTAAAGCTCAATATAATGAAGTCATATTTTGGGTGTTTGATGGGATTTCTTCCTTTTGTCTTCCAGCATCATGATGCAGATTTTATTATCAGATCTCTTAAAAATTCCAAAGCTTTCCTCTTCTGTGCAGCACCAACTCCAGTAAGAGTTTTCAAATACTTGTTGTTTAATCCGCTTTCTACTAAATGATAAAGTAGACACACATTATCAGCAAAAAATAATACTAATTACAACTAAATAGTATTGATTTACCTGTGCTATGAAATAAAGCAGTGTCAATGTATTTTTTTTATCCATATATCCATGTTGAATCTTTTAGCTTTCTTATGGTTCAAGAGAAGCAATTATTAGTCATGAAAAAGAAAACAATACCAAGATTTCAGCAGAAGCTGACAAAATTATTGAAAGGACTTGTGGAATTCTAGAGGTACAAATGTAAAGGGACATTATTATAAATGCCTTTCTTAATAATCTGGATATTCCTTGTGCTTAATTGAATAAAACTGAATTAGAGCAATTTGCAACGGGCAAGGTCAATCAGGAGGCCATGTCACCTTTTCCTGTATTGATGCCATACGTAACAATGGATGAAGAAATTGTAATTGYGACATTATAGCAAGGAAGGCCTCAGGACAAAACCTTGGTCACAGTTTTTACATTACATCATCTTAGTAATAAATCTAATCATAACAAAGCTAATCAATCCAAAAGATATCATTGTTACTTGTAACACACTTTATAAATCTTTGGTGCTTTTTATAGAGATTACACAGTACCCACATGGGGTACAAGGAAGCAAAGGAAAGCGTAATGCTGCTACCAAACTCTGCTGAGTATTCGAGAAGTCTTGAGACTGCATCGTCATCTTTTGACGTGGATCTTGCAAGGTAGGTTTWCATTATGACTCCACTACAAAARAACATTCATAAGATTGTTTTTATTTTTAGCAGTTTTGTGTTTGATGTATTTGCCTAATAGTTGATATAAGATTAGTAGATATGGAATATATCTAAACCACAAAAGAGCATGGAAAGAATTGTACTCCTCATAGAATCACATGGCAGCCAGGATACTCTCTTCACTAAGATATAGRAAACAAATTTCTATTTCTGACCTGACAAGCCTAAATTACACTTTCTTACACGATTGACATTGTATATTTCCCATTAACCTTTTCCTGTCAATCTCTTTAACTATATTATTGGCTGAATAACCCTAATTTATTTTAATGATTGGGTATTAGCTCTTTGTGTCTGTCATTCCTGTCTGGAAAGACAACATTGTTAATGGCATGTTTTCTCTAGTGATATCGAAGAGTTTCATTCATGGAAACAAGCCCATTGTCAAAAGGTAAATTGAGTGTTTATGCAGTTTAAATTAGAAATGTCAAGGTTAAGTCTATCAAAATGGTACTCATTCCTTAGCATTAGTAAGTAAGTTAAAAGCTGATGCTGCAATGATAGTTTGGCCAGTCAGCACTGATCGGAATAGGTTGAGAAAACAATCGAAAAACAATAGATAAGTAAAACAAAACCTACCCTAACAATAGAGCTGCTGTATCAAAAAGCAGGTTTCAATTGGTGCTGTATTACTTTGATTATTGCATTATATTTCCAGTTAAGACATTTTGGAATCAGAGGTATCTGTTATTTGCAAAGTACAGATTCTTTTCAAAATAACTCAAAGGAACTTTAAAAAAGGGAATATTAATAACTGAAGCAGAACATTTTTATTCCTTCTGCAGTATTTGATGAATGAAAAAAACAGCAGTATCCTTATGATGCCTGATAATAATCTTTCAAAAAAAAGAAAAAGTGATGATTCCATCCAACAACAAGAACAACAGTTRTCTGAGGTTTGTGTTCTTGTAATAAACACCATATGTTGTCAAATTCAGTTTATAGTTAGAATTAGGACAGTGGTAATTATTGCAAATGACATCTTCAAGTTATATAGGCTTCAAAAACATGTTTGATTCATGTTAGCAGCAGCACCAAATGGCTGTATAGCTCTTGWCTGGCAAAGTTCACTTGTTAACCAGATTGTATTGCAAGTCAATGCTCAATAATTATTTACTTTAAATCTTTTAGTCAGCACAACGGTCAAAGAGACTGTGGGAATTAAAGAATAGTTCATTTAAAGAAGTTGGAAAGGTAAATTTATTATCTGATTTCTCAAGCAAAAATACGACCTCATGGACTATAAACCCCTAGTCCACTCAGCTTTGTGGTCTAATTGTTAATTATCCAGTGTTTTTGCTTTTATTCAGGTTTCTCGAAGTATGAGACATTTAAAACCATCAATACATGGAGAAGATGCAGAGGAAAGTAGAAGTGATGACACTKTACTTTAGAAGATATAGATTAAAGATAACAGACAACAGATATATTGTAAATATTTGGAAATAGACCCTAATAAAATTATTGTATTGCTATTTGTATATAAAACTGAAGGCTGAAGTCCTAAAACATTCATTAAAACAGAGATTTCAAGCTGTAAATATATAGGGTGATATTAGACCTAATGTTTTTTAGAAATTGAAAACTTCAACTGGTCAGTCACAGGATAACAGTAACAGAACATTGTCTAGTTGCTTGAAGATAAGAATTTTACATTCTCTTGTTGAAAAAATATCTCTTCAACACTTTATGAGAAAGTTCTTATTTCTTTACACCCATATCATATCCTCTATATTTCTTCAATGAATTCAGTAAACAAAAACAAAAAACATGGCTCAGTTTTCTTTCTATTTTATTTCCCAAACCTATAAATTCCTCATTTATTTGTCTAAAACCTTTACTTTTATRATAAATTAGTATTTGTTTTCAATGYCAGTAGTGTTGATGCCACAACAAATGGCAATAATGCAAGCATTAGAAAAATAATCTAACTCTCTTCTACACTACATAGATATTTTACAAAAGTAAAACCCTCAATGTTGACTTAAATAATTCTTAGAAGAGACGACATCATAAATGATTTAATTGTTATTATAGGGTGGGGCTGAAGGGGTTCRTCTCTCATTGTAATCATAGGGTGGTGGTTGAACAGGTGCGGCCTGCCTTTGCCTTGCTTCTTCTAAAGGAATACTTCCCTTCATATTCGTAGAARTGTATGGTGTTTGTGTAGGAACTGGTCCTTGATACTGGTAACYGGTAGGTTGTTGACGTACATAGATAGGATCACCATACTGGGTYGTACCATACAGTACATAGCCATGTGGTTGATTATGCATCTTTTGGTAACTTGCATCTTTGGATATTCGTCTGTGCCGCATCCAGCAACACACCATGAGGAATGAGAAAATCATTACTCCACCTGYCAACCTGGAAAAAAAGAGGGATATTGCATGCAGTACAGCTATTTTAGTTGATGTCCAGTACTGGAGTGTATTTCAACRTGCATCGTTGCCCATGATACCATCTCTCTGAATTAGTGCTATAATACATAAATTTCATGGATAGGTTGATGGAATGTATAGATGGATGTAAGAGGAAGGAAAAAAATGGATGGATAAAATATAGAAAAAGACATACTCAAAAATTATTCATGAAATTGAGATAAACTAAATGAATGAAGGTGAAAAAACAATGAATGAACAAATGAGCTCATGGGAAATAATGGATAATAAGCATTTTTCCTGTTTAATGCAAGTGACCACTGTTTTAGCACACAACAGACTCACTTGTGTAGAGAACAAAAYTAAGCATTGAGGCTAAGCCTGTATTCCCACAAGACCTAGAGTTTGAGCCTTGAAATGGAGAAAATGCAAATTTGTAGGGCTATTATATTGATAAAAGTTGTTCATGCAATTCTTTTGTTTTTGGTAAGATCTCTGCACATAAGAGACTGTTGTCAACTAAAMTAGCAGTGAAAACGAAATACTGGCTGATGAATAAATAATGCACATAAAGCTACCTACCATAAGTACCAGTATCCTGTTAAATAACTACAGCATTCATCAAAACCACAGCAGTATTCATTATAATTACACCTAGATGAAATAAACACTATTAAATATCATAAGCAATCATTGGGGTCCTGAAGAGATAAAAGAGCCCCTGATATGGATAAATTCCAAGAGGTGAAATGGCCTTAAAATGGCCTTGAATGAACAGCTGATCTGATAAATTACAAACAGCAACACAAGAATTTACCAAAATTGYGACATAGGCAGTTTTGAAATGCAGACTTGGGGGCACAGTTTAGCCCTATATAATATAATAGGACCTCAAGGAAGTGGGACTGGGATTATGGCCTATTTTTGACTGGGAAAATGACACTGCATGGACAGGGATTTACAAAAGACAAAAACAATAGAAACTGGGAATTGGATTGAAAACTTGAAGAAAACTAATGGGATCTGACCCAAATATAACAGCAAAAGCTAGAAAAGTACAACTCAGGCRCAATAACACTTTTTTTCTTAATTTCAATTATTTCTTTATATTAATCTTTAATTGTTTCGATTTTGTTTTCAGTTCATTACTAATTTATGTACATGTATTCAGACGTGCACTCGACCGAGATAAACAACGCTAGTCTCGATGATCCAGTTTGCATGTTGATACTAAAAGTACCTACCAATCTGAACGACAATAATACGCATGAACCTGAAAATAAAAATATAATTACAGTGTATTCTAGCTACCTTTAATTTGCCGCGCGAAAATTTAAGCTTATTTAATGATGATGGACCCACACAAACACAACTGCCACTTGAATTTGAGGTTACAACAGGTACAACAAAAGTATCACTTATTCAATAAATACTATATAATATCATGTAAACAAATCCATTTAAGAAAATAGTTAGCTTACAACAGGATGCATTTAATGCTTGTAATAAGAGAAGAGGAGTTAATATTTTTGAGCACAACGTACGACACGTCACATTTTGAGCAATGAACATCTAAAACTACGAATTCTAAAATGACGAAGTAGTATTCCTGCAAAATTTGATTCTTTACCAACTTATAAGCTTACCAACCTTTTTGTTGAGCTCCAATAAAGAGAAAAACGTTGAAATTTGAAAGACGGTATTCAGCAATCGAGTGTCGCCTGCCATTTTTCATCTCCCAATCCCTCCAAAATAGATGCAAATTGTTTCGGTATGGAAATTTGTTTCATATTTTGTGGAATCCCTGTGGTAGTCATGGTTTCATTTCTTTCTTTTTTTCTTTTTCTCTCTTTTGTATCTATATGGATGAATGTAGAGGGAATGTTTATGTGTAGATTATATTTTCTAGTTTCTTATTTACTAGTGAACACTTTTAATTATGTTTTAATACAAGTATTTATGTCAATTATGAATAATTTATTTGAGTATTTGAAAAATAATTTGCGCGSTCGAGTCGAGACGAGAGATTTTCTAAACGTATTTCTTCCATACCGTTTTGTTTAGTTTGTGTGCATATGTATTGGTATTATTTCATCATGAGTTACAGAGAATATAAAAATCTCATAAAAATTATATTTTAATCACCTAAAGGTCATTATATTCTAAATCGCTAAACAACAAAACATCAGAATATTACATGGAATATTAACTGATGGATATTTCAATAAAAAGACAACATTAAAACAGATTAGACTGTGCTGTTGAACATTAGCGGGTACCTTTTGGCATAAATTATTTCATATTCACATGAATAATAACAAGCAAATAATTATCAAATGAATGTTTTTTTCCAATTGAACATTAGTAAACACCAACAGAGCTAGTAACTTTTTAAAATAGTGTCCTGCATTTAGACGGCGAAGAAACTAATAGATATCTAGATATCGGCTTCTTGGGGGGAATTTCCAAGATAACTATGACAAACTCAACAGTGCCTTCATAACCRTGATGTTGTTGAGTCTTTTTTCGAAGAACTTGACTGACAGTCGTAAATACTAGAATGTTCGCTCGTTTGGAACAATGGAATCGCCGCAAAGGTATCCGTGCACATTTGGTGAGTTTCCTTTATTTTTGAAGATTACACTAAAGTAATTTACTTATTCTGATTCCYTTTAACTAAAAAAACTATAAAAGGAGCATTTTATAGATGATAATAATGTACTTTATATTAGTTTTAGTTAAATACTTCTTGTCTTCTGTTTATCGATGCTCTGCATAGCAACTAYTGTCCTGGGATTTGAAGCACTTTGTTGTTTTTCGCTCCTCTCAGCTCAAGGGAAGCGTTCTGTTTAGCAAGATGTTTCAGTGAATGTATCTGATCAGCCAGGGATTAAGATGCTCCCGCGAGTCCAGCAAGTAGTCAAGGATGCGGTGTTTGATCAATCTTTTAGTCAAATGCGTCTTATTAGTCAGTAAACCGCGTTAAGCTTTAGGAGGRACAAGTTTCCTTTTATACGTACTCCAAGTGGAGCTTATTTGAAAAATGAGAAATTATTATCCGTGCAGTRACGATACAAGTAACGTTCGTACGTAWTAAGCCGAGTCTATAAGGATACAAACATGGCCTTTGGCCAATCARAACGCGCGTTCTATCGATAAATTATGAAGAAAACAAATGAAACGACAGTCGAATCTATACACAGTAGATATGTTGAATTAATGAATTATATCAGTAGAAATGATATAAATAAAAACGCACAAGCTAGTTGAAAATATTGAGAAAATACCGAAAACAGGTTTCGAAGAACATAGAGAATTCTGCGAAATTTGAAAATATTAAATCAGAAAAAAAATAAGTAAAAAGAATAGACAAACAAACAAGCAAAAAAACAAAACAAAAGCAAAATAAAAATAAACTAATACAAAAGAAGTAGAAAAAGAACACGACCACGCTAGGACTCGAACCCATGACCAAAACATTGAAAAAGGTTGGGACGATTCCCCCGAGACATTCTGTGAAGCTGAGGCGGCGAATCGATTTACATTCCGGTTAGAGATTTCGGCTCTTCCATGCTATCCCGATAATTGGTYCTAACTTCGCGCTAACTAAAAAGCCAGTGAGGGAGAAGCTATCCGGCCCCTAGACACTGATGGATAACCCCTTGCACTAACTAGGCAACTATCGAAAATATAATGTCAAATTGGGATAGTCTATTCGGCGAAAGTGTCAAGTGGTCTATTATTATGTAAATGAACCTGGTCCAGTGGCGCACCTCGTTAAGACACTGCGTACAAATATGATGTTGGTATAGTGGTATTGGGTTCAAGTCGGTGCACATTACGGAAAAATGATTTTTCTTCTTCTTTTTATTCTTTGTTAACCCTCATTTTTCATTCATTAATTTCATATTTGTATTGCTAATATTATTGTTATTTTATTTTTTCGGAAATTCTTTTCAACCGATATATCGTGATCTTTTGAGTTTCCTGTGAAAACACCGAGACTTCCGGAAATGCAGGATAAAATCAACCACTAAAGTGCATTATTACAAATATCTGAAAAACTTGTTACATAGTTAGTAGATTCCCCTCTACTAACTATGCTTGTTAGAATAAGATGAGCGGTAGTTAAGACTATAACATATAAGATCGACTGCTGGTCGAGCCCAAATGTGTTTGGGTTACCTGTGCTTTATCAACGACAACAGCAACGACAATTTTGAATAAAACCGCCCCCTCTCCCTTATGAACATTAAAAAATTAATAGTAAAATAAGATTATATCCTATTAAAAATAAACTGTTCACACAGCAGTTCACCATTCATTCATAATGAATAATAAAAGTGCGATTTTGGTTCTTGATGAACTATTTGCGGCGCTAGAGGCTGSCCTGTGCCATGATGATGGACAGCCACGTTCACCTGTAAAAAGAAATAAATGAAAAGTAACGTGCATGCACTTATGCAAAAAGTAGCAAATGAAAACAGAAATGTCACTCCCATAGTTTCTTCCTATCWTTTTCTCCGCTTTAAAAAAGAACTGAAAAAATTGGATGATGAATGAGTTCGTTGCCATTTCGGCCGTAAGACAAGTAGGCGCGCACCAGACACCGAAGAAAAACATCTCCTTATTTTTTAGTTTAATTTGTTTGACTTCATCGCTCGTTTTTCATTTTTTTTCCGGACAGCCTGTAGCGCTAACCTAAGCTGGAGATTTTATCGCGTGTGTATGTCTTAAAACATTTTTCGCCTTACCCCGATAACCACCAAGTACTTTTCGGCAGTCAACCGAGCTTCCGGTTTTCAGCGGAAGTGTTCAGAATTTACCCGTGATTCCGTGCGTATATGACGTCTGAGAGGAAAACACACGAAAAAGGAGCCACAGCGGAAAGTAGTTGGTTTTTGAGTACATTTTCTAACCCTCTATGAACTAGTTTGAAAAGATTCATGTACTCTAACCATCATAACGGGCATATAAACCAAAGCTATAGTCATTCGAGGAATAATTCGCGCAGTAGATTTGAGGTAAGTTGTTTTAGTCGAGTGAAATGACTCAAGTCACTGTTGTTGCTTCTTGTTTTGAATATATCTATGATTCGTTCACAACCTTTGAGAGTCTCGGATTTTTTACTAGTATCTCGATTTATTCTCTAAAAGGGCGCTGTTTGCTATTGTGTGCCTTAAGCTTGAGAGCTCAGATCTAGTTCGTGCTTTGCCGTGAACTTCAATATGAATCGTGGTTTGTTTTGATACTAATGGTCGCCTAGCTAGGAGACTCAGGAATCAACAGAATATATTCATTGCTGAGTTTCAAATAAATCAAATTTATAACTTATTCACTAATGCTTTTTAATTTGAGCGCTCAGTATTCAGACCAAAAAAGGTGCGAAACAAAAACATGCTGTTGTCGTGTAGAAGTCTAGTTCTACTATTCCTTATTGAATGAACAATATCGTTCCATTGTGATCTTGCTTTCTTGGACTCGGTTCTTCAGACTATTAAATGGTACAAATAAAAATTAAACTTGGAAAGGGAATAACTGTAATAGTCTATCTTATCTGGTTATGATAATTTATCAATGTTTCTCTTTCAACTTTCATGTCGTTTAAAAACAAACAATATTTTCCATGCAACAAAAATCAAATCATTAACTTAACTCCCACAGACTGATTTGCTTAGTAATGATGTACTCGATTCCGCGAGATTTAAATTCTGTCTGTTATTGTCATAGCATAACAACAACGATCTTCAAAAAATTGACTTGTCGTCGAACAATATTGTTGTTATTCRTGTCAGATTTCACTCCGTTCAAGATTCATCTCGAAAGCATAAACTCATGACAGGAAAATGACAGTTTTAAAGTGAATTTCTTTGTTGTGTTCTCGTTTAGAGCAGAGTTGCGTGAATATATTGTTGTGTAAATGAGTTCAAGTTAAAAAGGTCAGTTCAACGACCAAAGTACTTGGCTGTGTTCGGTAGTTGTGTCCTTCGTCATTGATAATAAAGTTATTATAGCGATGGTTTGTTAGTGTCTAGCCGACATTAGTCTAAATGAGATGCTAATCTTGATCCCTCTCCAGCTACAGAATTTCAACACAAACGTCGACCAAGCGTTGATAAACAAAAAACTCCCTAAAGAGCTTATCCTGAGGTAAATACATGGGTTGCATGTWCATACACATTACTGAAAGGCATTGTCGAAAACAAGAAAGAATAAAAAGGAAAAAGTGAGAACATCTCACAGAAATTAACTGAATACCACACATCAATCTTAAGTTTCAATGGTTGAATTTACCAAAAGGGTTAAAAAAGAATTGACCATACAATTACCTTTTTTGTATTGATTAATTATGATTTATACAATTTCAGAAAAACAGTAATTCATACTAGAGTTTTTTTTTCTTCTTGGAGTATTATACTTTCTATTTAAAATCATGAATTATTCATTGCACAAACAATTTCACCTCAGCTCTCATTTCTGGCTTTTAAATCTTTAATTGTCCCATGGGATCAATATTTAAAAATGCCATTTGTGCGATATAATAATGTTTAAGGTGTTTTTATAATTGCATCACCTTCACATGCGTAAATACCAAAGCCACTAATCCATCAACCAGTACCCAGGTGAAATTAAGACAGGATTCGAGCTGTAAATCTTCATTGTGCTTGAATAAGTGTCATTCAAATCAAGGTTCAATCTTGAAACAATACAAGGGTACAAAAGAATTGTCCTTGCAAWAAGATTTCACACTAACTCCTTGTTTTTGTTTTATTTCAGGATATTCTCTTTTTTAGATGTAGTTACATTGTGTCGCTGTGCACAAGTATCTAAGGTACCCYATTATTGTTGTTGTCCCTAACTATACCTATATAGGGGTGGTGAATGGTCTTTCAAAAAATCCAGGTCTCGCAAAATTTTAGTTGAATTTCAAGGGTCTCAAAGTCTCATTTTTTTTGAAAAATCGATTTTTTCGCGAAGCTGTCTCGAGTCTCGTATTTTTTTTTTACTACGACTGAAAAGCAACCCAATTACTAACCACCAAGCTGTGACAGCACATCAAAAAATATCAAAGGAAATTCCATGCATAAGACGAGAAATTAGGTCACAGCAGGAAATAGTGCTGTTTATAATATATTATACTTAAATGGCTCATATGAAGGTCCCTTCCCGTAAAAAAAAAGTCTTGGTCTCACAATTTATAAAGCCAAGAAGTCTTGGTGTTGCACGGAAAAACGCTAGTCTCACCGTCTCGCAAAGTCTTGATATTACCATTCTATACCAAAAATCTTTCAAATATACACAGGCACTCCTAATACAGTACATGGACTGTCTGCCATGTTTTCACTCACTAAAAATTCCAAAGCAAAGAAAACAAACAAATAATAACTGGCCCTGGAGAAGAAGAGGAGGTTTCTCTCTCTTTTTGCCAAAAAACAGATAAAGACTTCCTCTGCTTCCAGGATCAATCAATTAAAAGAAGAAAAAAATACTGTCACTGGTTTATCAGCATATTAATTACCACTCAGATTCTCCCTTTTATAGTATAAAAGTTGTACCATCATCATGGATTTTAAAATTATCCATCTAAAATAGTCTGAAGCAAATTTTTTGTCTATATATAGCTATGGAATGTCCTGGCTTTAGATGGCAGCAACTGGCAAAGGGTTAATCTATTTGCCTTTCAAAGAGATATAGAGGTATGCTTGTACTTAAATTATATCTTCATAATTGTTTCAAGATATACATATTGTAATATCTGTAATACAGGTTGTTGATTAAACATGCAAAAGAAAACGAATTACAAAATTTGCAGCATTAATTTTGTGACAAAATTAAAATGTTGTTTTTTGCACTTACTTACTGAAAGATTCATCATTTGGTTGTTTTTTTTAAATAATCTATCAACATGACTATTCACCTCAATGTCAGAAAAATATCAGCTAAACTTCTGAACATTTTGTTAYACTTGATAGGAAAGTGTTGTTCAGAATCTTTCAAAAAGATGTGGAGGTTTTCTGAAACAACTAAGTCTTCAAGGCTGCAAAAGCATAGGCGACCATGCATTGAAGTAAGAATTCAATGATAAATATTATTGCTCTATTATTCAATATTATACTGTATGTATTGTATGCTGTAAAGGTTTGCTCTTGAACTCAATAAATTAATATTTCTTTACAGAATATTTTCTCAAAATTGTAAAAACATTGAAGAGCTTATTCTAGAAAATTGTAAAAGAATCACTGATAGGTAGGTAACAATAATTTATATAATAGTGAACACATGATAGATATTAATTAAAAGCAGCAAACTTTAATCTCRTCATTACTTTATTTTCAGTACCTGCAAAAGTCTTAGTTCAAATTGTCAAAGACTACAAAAGCTTGACATCTCATCCTGCAGCCAAATCTCTGATAACTCATTAGACTCTCTGAGGTATTATAGTGTAATGTTTCTTTAATCAATCCTTCATTCAGTAATTAAAAAAAGATAAATGTTTTACTCCGACGAAGGATTACCGTCCGAAACGTCAGTAAGTTATTTCACATACTTTTTTACGGTGTTAAATTTATCTTTTTACATAACTGTTTCTTTAGAAACACCGACGCAGCTCACACTAGTTTACCGCTAKTTCCCATCACTTCATTCARTAATGTGACTCTCCTCTAGAAWTATTGCTCAATTCCAATTATAAAAACAAATGTGCAAAATTTGTACCAGTTGATCAAGTATCAACTTTGTGTGTAGAGAATTACATATAATATTTCATGTATTGATTAATTGTTTTGTTAAAATCATTATTATTTTCTTTTCAGTCGAGGATGCTCCAAACTTCGTCATTTAAATATCTCATGGTGTTCTCAAATTACAAATTATGGAATTAAACTATTATCTCAGGGTTGTACACAGCTTTTGACGTTCAATGCAAAAGGATGTATATTGGTAAATGACTGTTTCTCATCATTAAAAATTTTAAAGTGAAATTTACTGTCTTATAGAGAATAAAAAGTGTAAACTGGCCGAGGGCCACTGAGATGTTTTGACTAGTCTCTACAAAATATAAATCTCAGTATGAGATATATCTCAAAATGTGCAAAGCTGATTATATCAAAAATAATGATATTATCATCTGAAAATGATTTTCGTGTGATATCCCAGCATGAAGCATACATATGGCCTTGATCTTGAAACAAAATGAATAATAAATAAGTATCTGTTTTAAGTATTTTCTTTCATTTTTTTCTCTAGGAAATCGGAGTATTTATTGATAAGTTTTGCCTTGAATTTTCAGCTAACAGATGACAGTCTACTTCATTTAACAAGAAGTTGTACAAGCTTACAAAACATCAACTTACATAGCTGTGATGTAAGCAGTGTTAATGGAAACTTGTTTAGTTTGATAAATTTTACTGATATTTGTTTTTGTTATCATGTATAAATAATGCAGCTACTTTGAAAAATGTTAACACTACCAAATTACAGGCACTGAAATTTAATGTTCTAGGCATGCTTTGGAAATGTGAGCAGTCATTTTTTTTTCAAAAAATCTCTAAGCATTTAAGCATTAAACAAGATATTTTAAAATGCCCATGCACCATGATGATAAATATTGTAATGAACAAGAGACCTATAAACCCTACAAAAATAATTGTTGAGATTGTTGTTAATCTTTCTTCAGAATATAAAAGATACAGGAATCCAACATATCACCAACTATTGCAGAGATCTAAGATTTCTATGTATATCTAACTGTAAGCAGCTGACAGATCATTCCTTACAGTATCTTGGTCAAGGATGTCCAGAACTCAGGTAAAAAAATCTGTTAATCTATATCATTTTCAGCTAAAATTATTTTATTTTTTATTCTTCCTAAAATATGTGTTGCCAAGCAACCATCCCATCGTGATGTTCAATTAGCTATAGACAGCTGTCAAACAAAACCATTGTTGTTTTTAAACTAACTAGTTGTAAGGTAAAATAATCTGAATGACACTGCTGTCAATTGTTATGATCACATTGCTTTGTTATGCAAGGATTGGTCGTGCATCAATTTAGTTTACAATATACTTGAATTTCCCCTTGAATGACTCATCGTCYCGGATTGATTTATTAATCGATTAAATGATTGATTTCTTTTGATGGATATTTTCAGGACTCTGGAAGCTGCACAGTGTATAGAATTTACTGATGCTGGCTTTCAAGCTTTATGTAGGGTAAGCGACGAAAAGTGAATACCTTGTACTAATTTTAGCTGGCACTTGATTTTGCTAAATCAGAACAGGTCATGTGACTATTGTTTTTTTGATAAGGGAATTAGAATCTTGATTGAAAGAATAAGTAAGGATTGAAATATTTTTATTATTTCTCCTTCAGGGCTGTAATAATTTGCAAAGAATGGACCTTGAGGAGTGTACTAGGGTGAGTATAGTGTTGTGAAGTCCAGTAGTGTAGTGGTGTAACATGATGAATGTGGTGTGCTATTGTGTAGTGTGGTGTWGTGTAGTGTAGTGTGGTTTATAGTGTAGTGAATTGTGGTATGGTGTGTGTAGTATAGTATGGCATGGTAGGGTGTGCTATGGTATTATGTAGTGTGGTGATGTATGGTGTATT